CCCATGAATCACCAGCACATATATACTTAATATTATTATGTAGCCATTTGCCAATCATATGTATAACTCATGTTTACAAAAAATAACATTGACGTTCAGTTATTCAGTTATTCAGTATTGAGGGGGTGGGTTTACCCCATGCACCGCGACTGATTGTCTATTGTATGTCCCCCTTTTAATTTCTACTGTCTCCCGTCCCCTACCGGTACTGGTGCTCGCTATCAGCCCCTTTCTGCCAGCGAGGTTCCGATCCTCTACTGGCAGTAGTATCTAATAGTTAGTCCCTTTCTGTCAGAGAAGTCGCCCCTCCTCTGGCAAAGGTACCTAATACTTCCCCATCTACCGGAGGCATTGGAAACTACTTTGGGCAGGAAACTTTTTGGCCAAATTTAGCTCAGAGGTCTCCTAGAGACATGAGGTTCTTTTACGTGCCGTAAATCTACGACATGGGACCCACGGCTTAAAGTCCCTCTCGGAGGACTTGTTCCCTGAATTTTTCCGCCCTTAAAAATTCCATGACCTCCGCTGGGTTTGAACCCGCGTACCTTGAGTCATGAGGTGGGAATGTTACCCCTAGACTACGGAAGCCGCTTAACATTGACGTTAGTTGGATATATTATTTTGTTGCTATTATTGAAACCTTTCCTATAACCCAACATTCATCAACAAAACACTGAATTGAATTTGGATACCTTATTATGTAGCATTCTGCCAGTCTTCCTTCCACCAATTTTTCTTATGATGCATGGTTTACCTTCAAAATATTTAGTTTAATGCATTATTGTGTAGACTTTTGATGACCTCTCTTACAGTCCATGTTTCAAGAACCAAACATTGGCTTGTGTACATTACTGTATAGCCATTTGTCACTCTTTCTTATCACCCATGGTTCACCAACAAAACATTGATTTTGGTTTGGATACATTTGGATACATGTAAACATTTGTCACTCTACCCTATAATCCATTGTTCATCAGCAAAGCAGTAACATTAATATGACCACAAGTACATTAAGTCTGATTTGTTTCATTCTGGCCCATCACACTAACAATATCGTAAGAGGTTATAGAGTTCTGTCCAGTGTGACTAGTAAAGATTTTTCTTATTTCAATCCTTCATCCCTTACATTTTTCGGTTTTTCCAGACCATCCTCAGAAGGACATCAATACGATCAGAAACCACTATTACAATATGTGTTTTAATGCCAAGATATATACATACAATGGGTATAAAATCTAATGTTCTAACAACTACAGTGGTTGTCTTAATATGATAAAATATTTACAATTATTTTGTTAAAATTTTTATTGGAAATCATAAACCAAGGTTGTTCGTGTCCTTTTTTTTTATTATTATTATTATTTCTTCTCTTGAAGGAGGCCAAACGTGTACCACCTTGTAGTTCTGTTGTTTCTGAGAAGATGATTCTGCAAATATATTATGGGTATATTGTAATATTTCAGCAAACCCTATTTTGTTTTTATGTGAGATTTTGTTGTTTTTGTCCTACCTTTAATGTCATTCTTTAGGTGTTCGTGGTGTGCTGGGTTGTTATACTGTTCTAGGGTGTGTTGACCAACGTATTTATACTTGTGTCTATGACATTTGTATGGGCATGTATTGATGTATTACAATGTCGAACATGTTATGCTGGTTATCACTTTACCTTGTATGTTTTTGTTCTTCTATCAATTTATTGAGTGTATTAAAGTGATATATATGGAAGTTTTCTTTTATATTCATGATGCTCCTTTTTTGGCACTTTCAACCATTTCCGTGATTACTGTCATAGGTCTGTACTGGTGGCGTTTATTTAGTGTACGTTGGGCAAATGCTGATTCAACTTTGTTTAGACTTATTATATATTTCTTATGTGTTCCTTATACCTTGTTGTTAGATTTCTACCAGTTTGGCCGATGTATACTTTTTGACAGCTTTGGTAGGTTATTTTGTATCTCCCACTTTGTTCATAGGGGTTTGTTTCTCGTTTTTCATTTACAAGTTTACCAACAGTGTGAGTTGTTTTGAAGGCTATGTTTATATTGGTGTTTTTGAATAGTTTTGTGATTTTCTGTATGTAATTCCTGTATAGGTAAATGTGACCCATTCTTTTTCTTTTTTGGCTTTATTATCCAGATTATTTTTCTTCTGTTTGAATTTTTTTGTTCAATTGTTCAATTTATTTCTGTTCTGTAAATCCACATACAGGTAGACACCAAAGGACATGGAAGAAGTCAAATACAATATGGATACAATGACATCTGTACAATAACAGTCTAATTGAAAAATTAATAAGATTACAAATTACATAAATATAAGTTAAATGTACTTATGCATCACAATTTGAGCCTGTAAACAGGAACGGTGTCGATGAGTACATCGCTAATAAGTAATAAGATTATAAATATGTAGATACAAATTAATTATACTTGTGCATCACAATTTAAGCGTTTAGTCAAAAACTGTCAATGAGTACATCGTTAACGGTTATAAAATATGTAAGTAAAATTAAATAAAAGTAAAAGTAAGCAAGCAATATCCATTCATACATTCATAGGTCCCTATAAGGGAAACTTGTGAATACAGTAAAATACAGTCAAAAATGGCAAGCAGGATGACAACATAGATAAAAAAATATTCTTCCAATGAGTATAATTTAATTACTACTCGTAGTATACAATTATTTATCTCATTGGCCGTAATTTATTTATATATTCATTCATTCCTTCATTCACACTCATCAAGCCTTACTTGGCTGGTAAAAAAAAATAAACTGTGACAACAAAACAGATTACATGGCTTGCCTGTGTACAATTAGACAAACACTCAAACACATATTGTTCAGACAACCGCTATGCAATGTGTGTGACTTCAAGCATGCGTCAGTTATCACCAAACAACACTGCAACAATCAAGTATGAAGTATACTGCCATTCATTAAGCATGAAATGAACCAGGATCTTTAATCAATATTGTGGTTAAAATATTCCTTCGATGAGTAAAATGAATTTAGGAGTAGAAATCTTTTTAAAGCAAATTTAAATTGTTTAATATCATGAGCTACGTTCTCTATGCTATTTTCCTTTTTGGAATGCTGACAAATTGCATGTGGGATAGTGAAGTTTATTGTTGTGTCTTGTATTAATGCTATGAATTTGATAGTTAATTTTATATTCTCTGTTTTTTGCCATAAATAATAGGAGAGAAAATATATACTGTGATTGGAGGGACAAAATTATCAGTTATTCCCTACAAGAGTTCTTTTCCTAGAATTAGTGATGATTCTAATTGCCCTTTTCTGGAGCCTAAAAATAAAGAAACTTTGGGGAGACTTTCCACAGAAGATCAAACCATAAGTCATTACAGAATGAAAGTATGAGAAATAAATCATTCTCGTTTCCTGTGACATATAAGGCTTAATAGTCTTGATTGCATAACAGGTAGAGCTCAATTTACTCATGAGCCATGACAACATATTGTCAATAATTAATCCAAGAAATCTGGTATTGGTAGATTTTGGCAAGCTGATTGTTGCCATGGACAATGTTCATATCCATTGTCTGGTTATTCTTAGTTGTAAAATGTATAAAATAAATCTTATCAAGATTTAGTGTAAATAAATTGATTTCAAACCAGTCATTTATGCCTTTGATACTATGAGGAATATTGTTTTCATAATTTACAGGGCAGGAATTTTTTTTTTGTTGGTAGTGTTGTGGGGCTAAGTCCCTTGTACTATGGCCACTTCTGGCCTATTGTATCAGCCCCAGATGAGAGGTGATGGTGATTGTGGAGCAATTGGTGGAATGAAGATTGGCAGGGGAAACCGAAGTATTCGGAGAAAACATGCCCAAGCGCCACTTTGTCCACCACAAATCCCACTTGACCATACCCGGGATTGAACCAGGGCCGTCGTGGTGGGAAGCCAGCGACTAACCACTTCAGTTATGTCGCGGCCTTTGAATTCAGGGCAGCAATTAGTAATAATAATGCTAGTATCATCTGCAAAAAGGACAGGTTTAGATTTGCTGTTATAGTATTTGGCAAGTCAGTTATGTATAAAAGAAACAATAAAGGTCCCGAAATAGATCCCTGGGGAACGCTCTGGTATCTGTCCTTGAGGTAAGATCTTACCAATGCATTGGCCCTTCCAACTATCCCATAAAATTCCAGTTTAGATAGTAAAACATCAAAATTGACACAAACAGAAGCTCTCTTCAAGTCACAGAAAATGCCACCAACTAGTATCTTATTATTCAACGCAGTTAATATTTCATTAAGAAGTTTGTACGTGGGTTTTCCTATAGATGAATTGCTCCTAAAGCAATATTGTTCATTTACTAATGTGTTGTTGGTCATTATATGTTGGTTCAGTCCAATATATATAACCTTGTCCATAACTTTTGAGGATGATAGTAATGATATAGGTCTGTAGTTAGTCATATTAGTTCTGTCCCCATTTTTTAATAGTGGTATTATTTCAGAATATTTTGGCCGAGAGAGGAAAACACCAGTTGAGAGAACTCTATTGCAGATATGAGTTGGAGTAGAGTTTGTTATGTACGAGTAATTGTAGGATGTCTTCCTTCCTGTAATCATTATTTAGTGCTATATTAATAATAGTATTTAACTCTTTGTTTTTAGTGTTTTCTTTGAGGGGTAGTGTGAGAAATCTATGTATCCAATTTTTATGTGCTGCTACTTTTTGTTCTTTAGGTTGGCATGAGTTATTATTTATTGTTATATCTGTCATGGTTTTTCTGTATATTTCCATTTCTATTTGTCTGTGTTTGTTAATTAGATTTAAATTTAAGTAGGTTATTTGGTTCTTTACTTCCTCATATATTGTAAATTGCGTGCCTTTGTTGTTCATTGAAATGTTTGAGGAGGCTTTGGGGAGTTATTTTTGTTTGATTATGTTATGAAATTGTCATCTGCGTATCTATTATAGTGTATGATTTTTCATCTTCCAATAAATGTGTTATTCTGTTTTGTTCTAGATCTTGTAGAAGATTTCTGCCATTGTACATGATAATGGTGAGCCTATGGCTATGCCTGACCTTGGTTTCTAGAATTTTTCATTGAAAATATAATGAAAAGTTCTCGTTGGTGTCTCCACCTTATCATGGTGAGGGGGTTTGAGTATGCCAAGGACCCTGAAAGCTATACCGGCAGTAGCGTAGCTACTGGCAGGGCCTCCCTTGCTGGACAGGTCAAAGGGTAGGCATCAGATGAAGAGAGACACCAAAAACCAAAACTGGTGCCGGAAGCAGCGTCATCAGCAGTGTCATCAGCAGCGTCTTGAAGCACAGAGCAAATGATGCTCGAGATGGTTCAAGTTCGTATAGCAACAGGTGTGACCAGAGTGGTTTGAATGGCTGTTGTACTGCAATGTGGAAAGCAAATGGAAAAACTACGACATTATCACTTTTCCTGGATAGTCTCTTTCCAAAAAGAGAGATACCATGTATGCGAGAAAGGGGCAGATAGAAGTGACCAGAAGACGAGGAAGAAGACGTAAGAAGATGCTGGATGGTCTTGGGGACTGAAGAGGATATTTTTATTGTAAGGAGAAAGCTCTAGATCGTATTAAGTGGAGGAACTGTTTTGGAAGAGACTGTGGACCTGTCATCTGACAGATTACTGATGAATGAATGAATGAAAATAGTTTTGATTCAATATCATATTAAGTATGGACATGATTTCTTTTGTAATGCTTTTGTCCGTGTGGTTACCTTTGAATAATTTATTAGTCACAAGGATTGTATAATTGATTGGGATGTTAACTTATTGAAGCTAGTCAAGCTAAACTGGTAAATCAATACATGAATATGAAAAGGAAACTACTAAGAACCAATGCACATGGCAAAACAAAAACATCATACCTATGTATGCCAACCTTAATTTAACGGGCACAAGTAATCCCATAAAGCAAACCCAAAAAAACAAGTAACCAAACTTAGAATAAAAAATGAATTAAAATACTTATATGTAAAGGAACAAAATATCAAGAAACAACTGTACAAATTATATCTAAGAAATGCACATTGCTGCTTGAGATAAATTTTTCAGTAAAATTAATTCAACATTATGTTTCTGGACCCTGTCATTTACGAGGTCTCCAAATTGGTATTGTCCCTTAATACTTTCTATATTTGTGAGGTCCTGTTTTTAAATATCGGCTCAGTAGTCACACTTCTGCATAAGCGGTGACGTCGTCAACAATGGAGATGGTGTTTTCAGTCAAAGCAGCAAATATATTCTTCTACTTTACTAGAATTCCCAAGATATAGGCATAAATCATGAACGGAAAACTACATAATTAGGAGCATCATAACTTGTACTATTCTCCAAGTATATTTAGAATGATCAAGTCAAAGAGGATGAGATGAACAGGGCATGTAGCAGGAAAGGGGAGGCAGAGGAACTGTTTAACCTCTTATGACAAGTACATTACTGTATAGCTTTTAGCCAGTCTTTGGTATAACACGTAGTTCACCATTAGAACAATGGCTTCAGGGTGGATACATTATCATATACTGATTACTGAGTTTCTGTTCTTGTCCATCCTCTCATATTCCCAAGAACTTGACATCTCAGAAACTGAATCTGTTTCCATCCCCAAGTGAAAGGGTGGGAGGCATGTACTTCATGAGTGCCATTACAAAAGGCAAACCTCAACCACTGGACAACCTAAGTCAGTGCACCTGAGATCATGTTTCATTAGAGGGGGAGTAATAGCAAAATTTACAATAACAACTGCAGGAATGTATATATGAGGACCTAATAGGAAAACAGAAAAATGGGGAAATGCCTTAACAGAACTAACAGCTCAATCCAGACACACCAGGAAAGAAAATAAAACTTCTTGTGCTATGAGGTACATGCCAATCACTAGTACTTCTGTGGAAAAAGAAATGAATTCTGAAATGAAAAACAATATAGATGACCATGAAGAGTCTGTCAGGTCATACTGACCTAACCTACTACACGCACGCACACACACACACACACAAGGCCGTGCCATAGTTCAAACGGTTAGTCCCTGGCTTCCCACTGCGGCAGCCTGGGTTCGAATCTGGGTCTGGTCAAGTGGGATTTGTGGTGGACTAAGTGGTGCTGGGGCAGATTTTCTCTGAGTACTTCGGTTTCCCCTGCCAATCTTCATTCTACCAAGTGCTCCACAATCACCCTCACCTATCATCTGGGGCTGGTGCAATAGGCCAGAAGTGGCCGCAGTACAAGGGACTTAGTCCCACTCCACTAGCAATAAAAAATACTACACACACACACGTGCATGCACGCACGCACGCACGCATGAATGCACAGTTGCTATCCAGGCCCTTTGGAAGTTTTGAAACTGCATGTTTGACAGTACATGCCAGGTCTAGGTTAGGATGGGGATTTTATTACTGCAAAGTTCATACCATTTCTAAAAATTGCTTCCTCAGCAGTAGAGTAGTGAAGTCGTCCAATTTAATTTAGTGCTTAAAATGAAACATTAACAGCAAGACTTGGAGTAAGCAGCTGATAAACAACTGATACTTATAGCCCTGTGGCACGTAATAGTGGCGCCATAGTGTTGCTATTACGTGAAGCAAATAAATACAGTAGAACTTGGTTATAATGTCATCATGTCAAACTCAAATTGTACAGAGGGCCACCTCAGCCCTCTAAATCTTGCGTGACCAACGAGGTGTATTGTATGATTATTTTGGTTTCCATCATGCGTGAAAACAGTATTCTCTAACGTTATTACGAAGGGTTAGAAAACTATGTCACTCATTGATAATGAGCAGCCGGAATAGCTCAGCTGGTATACCGAATGGCTACGGGCTGGAAGGCTGGAGTTAGATTCCCGGATGGGCGCCCACTCATCCTCCACTCCAGTGGCTACCGTGGGCTCTTTACCTGGTGGTAAAGCAACTGTAATTCACCTCCATCTAGCGCCGAGGTAAAAAATGGTGCAGCTGTATTTCCATCATCTCGTATGTCCCCATGGCATAGAGTTTAAGTAATTAAGCACAGGGACAACTTTACCGTTCACCACTTAACCAGTCACTGTAACCCTGCATTCCCGAATGAACAGCCTACACACGATTCTGAAGGTACCAAAATTTTACAGCACTTTAACTTCACAACCGCAGGAGTATTTTCTTCGTCAGAAAGCACAAATCACACAATCTGCAAGTGAAAACTGTAATTGTTCGGTGCAGAGTGTACATAAGATAATATGTTTCCAGTTCAGAATGTATTATGATTTTCGGTCTCCTTGGTGAGTACATGAGCCCAGTAACTAACTGTGTGTGGCTTGCCGTATATTTCCAAGCATTGCTCATGTTTAGCCACTCATTCAGAATACTGGCCTGGAACAATGTACAACAAGAGCTATGAGACCGCAGGACATGAGGCTCAGAATAAAAATTATAATATTTGTACGCGTTAGC